GCATTGTTTGACTTTAATTTTGTTTTTTTGTTGCTTGTAAATATTTATATTTGGATTTTAATTAAATTACTGTAGAAATATTATTCTATGGTTGGTGCATAAAAAAAGTTGTATTAAATGAGCGATAGTACGATTCATATATTTTTCCTTGAAAGAAAAAAATTATGGGTCGGAGGGAGTATCAAACGAAGATAGGCGTGGCGACACCTTAGAGCGGGAAATTGAGTATCAGGCTATCAGTTGCAGTTGATGGTGAGCATCTTATGATGCAGATCCACATCCATGGAACGAATTCGATTTTAGTACTAAAAATAGCAACCAAAAAATAGCACGCTATTTCGCCGTTAAAGCGTATTTGAAGAGAAAATGCTACGTATTAGAGAATTCGGCCGCTATGGCGCTATTCGCGTTATTAGCATGGTACACCGCGCTATAACGTTGTAGTGTGTAACGTTATAGCGTGCATGGTGAAAAAGAAACAGAAAATAAGGCAAGCACAACTGCGCAGCCCAGCAGGCACAAATTCACCCGTCGGCCACGACCCTCTCGCGCTCATTCTCACTTCCCCCCGCCACAACCACAACCCTAGTTCTCATCATCTATTCCGCCGAGATGAGTGGCGGAGGCGGCACCGCTAGAATCTGCTTGTGAGCGGGGGCAGCGGCATAATCTGGTCGCGAGCGACGGCAGTGGAAAGACCTGGCCATGAGCGGAAACACCTGGCGGTCACATCATCTATTTCTAGATATATTTCAAAGAAATTTCAAACATTATTTTGAAATATAGCATATGCTATTAGTGTGCTATAACTTGTGTAGCATTTGAAGAAGGGCCTCGCTATATTTTGTAGCGTGCTATTTTTTCATTGAAAAATAGACATGCAGTCTCTAAGTCGTGTGAGCTACAGGCCCCCATCGAGATCCAGGACAGGACTACAGCTAGCATTAGTAGATATTTATATATAAATATGTTGTTAGGTTATGCATCCACAAGCACCAAGACAGTAGCTCACTGAGTAAGCTGCTAGCTGCTAGCTGCTAAACAGACCAGCACTCTGCCGGTTCTAGCAGCTAGCCATCGCAAGCTCAGGATGATGTTCGCCGACGATGAGAACCCTGCTCCCTTGAATAAAGGTACAGTCATGCGGTTTGATAGACAAGAGTGTTTATAGGAATAATGATCGGATATGTGCATGATCATGAATTATATGCATGCATGCAGGGAGCACCAAGGGGCTAGTAAAGATCAAGAAGCCGGCGTACAGCAGGGACGACGTGTCGCTGAAGGCCGACGAGGTGACGGCGGTGGTAGAGCTGAACGCCGCGCCCAGCGCCGTGGTGAGGGAGGGGCTGGACCTGGTGGTGGTGCTGGATGTGAGCGGCAGCATGGCGGAGGAGAAGCTCGTCAGCATGAAGCAGGCGATGCAGTTCGTGATCATGAAGCTCACCCCGGTGGACCGTCTCTCCATCGTCACCTGCAACAACAGCGCCAAACGGCACTGCCCGCTGCGCTCCATGACGGAGGATGCCCAGAAGGACCTCAAGGCCGTCGTCGACGGCCTGGAGGCCTACGGCGGGTCTAACATCAAGAGTGGTCTCGAGACCGCGCGGGCAATCTTCGACGGCCGCAAGATCGTAAAATCCCGCAGCGCCAACGTCTTCCTCCTGTCCGACGGTCTGCAGACCGCCAATGAAGCCAGGGAGACCGATCTCGGCAGCGCGGGCGTCTACACGTTCGGTCTCGGCAAGGACTCAGATCACCAGGTAACTGCTCGATCTATCTCTGCCTAGCAAAGTCCAACTGTTTAAGGTGGTGATAGATGATGAAGCTGATGATTTATCCCATTTCTAGCTGCTCAACGACATCGCCAAGAAATCCCCCGGCGGGACGTTCAGTACCGTGGTGGACGGGTCGAACCTGACCAAGCCATTCGCCCAGATGCTGGGTGGCCTCCTCACCGTGGTCGCGCAGGACGTGCGGCTCATCCTCACACCCAAGAAAGCGGACGGCCTGAAGGATATAGTGGTGCCCGAAGACACCGACTACACCAAGACCACGGACGCCGCCGGCGTCATCACCATCCACTTCGGCACCCTCTTCAGCGGAGAGTCGCGCAAGGTCACCGTCAAGATGACGCTCTCGGAGTGCGCCGTCGGCACGACGCGGCACGACGCGGTCTTGGCCGAGGCCCAGCACAGCTACAGCGCCCAGTCGATTGTGCAGGGTCTCCAAACCCCCGAGAACCTCAAGATCTTCCGCACCCCGAACCCAGCCACCGTCGCCGGCAGCAAGGCGCGTTGGGTGCTGGCCGAGCTGGCGCGGCGGCGGCAGGCTGAGGCGATCAGGAAGGCCATGGCCCTGGCGGACAACGGTGACCTCGACGGGGCGCGCTACTTGCTTGTAGACGCGCAGAATGCACTGGAGGACGTCTTGCTGGACGACGGCCAGAAGCTGATCGACTCGCTTCGCGCCGAGCTCGTGCAGCTCATCAAGCTCATGGCCTCCAAGGAGCTCTACGAGGCGCAGGGCCGCCCCTACGCGCTCGCCTCCGATACCTCCCACGCCCGCCAGCGGTTCGCTGACAGGGGAGACGTCACGGACACCGTCCGCCTCTTCGCCACGCCGCGCATGGACACCTACCTCGAGCAGGCCAAGCAGTTCGACAAGGACCCCACCAAGCCGCTGCCCTCCGCCGCCGATGACGTCAAGGAAGAGATCGCCGCCAACCCCATGGCCGCCTTCTCCTCCGAGCTCGCCTTTTACCTCCGGAACGCAATCGAGGCTCTGCAGGCCATCGAGAAGATGGTAGCCGCCCCCACCGCCACCGCCTAGGCCATTTGTGCCTCAATTTGCTTTCGTAGTTTCTCTCTCCTGCGCGCTGCTCTAATAATTTGTTCCTTTAGTTAATTACTCCTCCAATAAGCGCGGACGCCCCTAAAATCCTAGTACTGGTAGTACTACCATCCAATATCCATCTGTTTCATCTACTTGTCAACCCATTTGCTTCACTGGAATAATTTCACTACCATCATCGATCCTGTTTAATTTCACTTCCCCCCACGGATGCGTCTACATTCTTTTTCTCATTTCTGTATTTTAACCAGCTTGTTTACTTTACATTAAGCACTGATTTGTCATGCTTGCCAACTAAATTTGCCATCCACGCATCACTAAAACTGCCACACAAAAAAAACATTTGATTTGCCATGCTCAAATCCCGAATGTTCAGGATTTATAGGGGTCTTTGTTGAAATCATTGTATTTTATTCAGTTATTTCGGTGTTCATTTCGGCCAAAAGGACAAAAGTTTCAACTTGAATTTGACTGAGATACAACGATTTTTTTTTTAGAAAAATCTAAAACTAATTTGAATTTATGTGTACTACCGAAATTGCGTAAATGTTTTAACCGAAAGGAAATTATTTCAGTATGTGCCGAAATTTCTCAGATTCCTGGACTGCATACACTTCAAATGGAAGGATTGTCCATATGCTGAGCACCGCCAATACTAAGGCCATCATTTTTGAAGTAGTTGTGTCACAAGACCTCTTAATTTGACACTCTTTCTTTGGTGTGTCAGTGTCTCACAATCACATCAATGTGTTGCAACGGCCTCCATTGTTTGCGAGATTGTGTGTGGACCAAGATCTTGCGTGCAACTACACAATTAATGGGCGTGAGTATAGCATGAGATACTATTTTAGTTTTGCTGTGATGGTATCTATCCTTCGTGGGTGACCTTTTTCAAGACCATTTCTGATCCGATAGGTAACCAAAAATCACTTTTCAGCAAAGTAAAAGTGTACTAGAAAGGATGTGGAGAGTGCACCAAGCCTGTCTTTTAGAAATGGGTCCAGAGACATCGCGGGAGGTGACGATAGTTTGTGTAATCATTTGCAACATAATTGTGGATGATGAGGGTAAGGCAGTTCACCATTGCCTACATTTTCATCAAATGTGTGATCTTGTCAAGCTTCCAGGGCAGAATCCAACAATGTTTGACCAAATTCTCTAGATGCACCATCAGTTCTCAATTGAGGAACTCATACGCAACTTCAAAATGATCTAATTGAGCATTTGTGGGCGTCTCATATGGATAATAAGAACATGTGCCCGAATAAATTGAATTCAAATTTGAACTATGTTATTTCTGAACTTTATGTTTGGATTGTAGTTTTTTTTATTTGAATTATTTTTGCATTGGAATATTTATCTTTGAGTTATTTTGCATTGTGGAATTCAAATTTTAAAAGATGGTGAAACTTTATGAAACTTAGTGATACATGATACACCACAAGATAACATAATAAAATTTGATACATGGTGTATTCGACTCATTACATACTAACCTTGTGAAACATGGCTCCTAACTAGAGAACATAAATAACATAATAAAACTTTATAATATTGTTCATAGCTTTTGGGAAAAATAATATTTTCCGTCATGTACCATACTTATCATGTATTTACATGGTTTCAAAATGATGGATATGGAACTTGAAGAAGAAACGGTTTTTTTCCTCCTGATTTTTATTTTCAAAACGGTTTTTTATCTCTCCCGGTTTTATGCTAGTTAATTTAGGTGGGAAGAAAAAGAAATAATAAAGTGCTAAAAGGGGACTTGAACTCAGGTCAAATGCATGCCCGCTATGCCTAATAATCATCCCACCCATCTTAACTTGTTGTCCATAGTATGCAAACAACGGTATTTGAACCCTTCTTCTTTCTACTACCATGCCAGCGAAAAGCTTAATTTTAGGCTTGATAACTTTGGCCGAGCAGCATGATAACTATGACATGTGCATGCTGATAACTTCAAACATTAACACCCCTGGTTAAAAAAATGACATGATAAAGTTGGTAACTATATCATGAGAAGGCCGGTAACTACAACGTGAAAATCACAATAACTTTGACATGTGCAACATCATAATTTTTG